GCTGGCCATGGTCCAGCGTTCCCAGAATCGCCTTTACCTCCTCGACTTGAAAGTGGAGCAGCCGGTGTGTTTGGCGGTACGGCACACCGAGGAGCCATGGATATGGCATGCTCGGTTCGGCCATTTGAGCTTCGACGCACTCGGCCGGCTGAGGAAGATGGTGCGCGGGCTCCCGCACATCGAGCATGCAGGCGAGCTGTGCGACAGCTGCCTGGCAGGGAAGCAGAGGCGGCTGCCTTTCCCAATGGCGACCAAGTATCGTGCGGCGAACGTCCTCGAGCTCGTCCACGGCGACCTCTGCAGGCCGATCACGCCGGCTACGCATGGCAGACGACGCTACTTCATGCTGCTCGTGGACGACTGTAGCCGTTTCATGTGGCTGCAGCTCCTGACGAGTAAGGATCAGGCGGTGGAGGCAATCAAACGGTTCCAGGCGCGGGCTGAGGCAGAGTCCGGGATCGCGGGGGCGAGTTCACATCGGTGGAATTCGCCGCGTCTTGTGCAAACCAGGGGGTGGTGCACCATCACACTGCGCCGTAATCACCGCAACAAAACGGCGTACTGGAGCGGCGGAATCAGACCGTGGTGGGCATGGCCCAAAGTATGATGTAGGCAAAGGGCATGCCAGCGGAGTTTTGGGGAGAGGCTGTGAGAACGGCGGTGTTCGTCCTCAACCGTGCGCCTACGAACCCTGAAGGGCATGACGCCATTCGAAGCTTGGAATGGTAGGCAGCCCGACGTCTCATTTCTAAGGACGTTTGGGTGCATTGGCCATTTGAAGAAGACGAAGCCCTTCCTGTCCAAGCTTGAGGATAGGAGCACACCGCTGGTGTTCCTAGGCTACGAGGAGGGGAACAAGGCCTATCGGCTCTACGATCTGCGTGGAGGCAAGGTGGTGGTCTCGTGAGATGTGGTGTTCGACGAAATGGCGGCCTGGGATTGGGAGAATACTGGCACAGGGGAAGCCCAAGGCGTCGGCAGTACGTTCGTCATCGAGCATTTGGTGATCCACGGAGGAGGAGATGCGGGAGTAGAGGAGCCAACTGCGGACGCGCCAAGTCCAGTAGCTGTGGCGGCGGCGAATGAGCCGCAAAGTCCGGCCATGACGGGCACGGGCGAAGAGTCTTCACCAGCGGTTGCGCACACGCCCCTACCACAGTCCCCTGCTGCGGCAGGACAAGGGACATCTCCAGCGACGACAGTTGAGTTCGCCTCTCCTCCAATCGACATCGACGAGTATGTGGATGCTTTCCACAACGGTGAGGAGGTGAGGTTTCGCAGGATGGACAACCTCGTTGGCAACTCGGCTGTACCAGGCTTGGCAAGCCGATTACTCGACGATCGCAGAGGAGCCATCGACTTTCGCGCAGGTCGAGCGCGATGTCAATTGGAGACGAGCTATGCTAGAGGAGATGAAGGCGATCGAGGAAAATGAGACGTGGGAGCTCGTCGATCCACCTCCAGGCTGTCATCCAATCGGTCTCAAAAGGTCAAGCGGGACGAGTGTGGCGCCATAGTCAAGCACAAGGCGCGCCTCGTTGCTCGCGGTTTCGTCCCGTGTGAGGGCATCGACTTTGAGGAAGTTTTTGCACCAGTGGCGCGCATGGAGTCAGTTCGCCTACTGTTGGCCATGGCGGCAGCGAAGGACTGGCGCATTCATCACCTGAATGTGAAATCGGCGTTCCTCAACGGCGAGCTAGCGGAGACTGTCTTCGTCAAAGAAGCCCCGGGCTTCGCCGTCAATGGAGAGGAGCACAAGGTGCTGCGGCTGCAGAATGCACTCTATGGGCTGCAACAAGCCCCACGAGCGTGGAACGCCAAGCTCGATGCCACCCTAGGTACGCTTGGGTTCACGCGCTGCGCGACAGAACACGCGCTCTACACGCGACGATGGGGGATGGAGGAGCTCGTCGTCGGTGTGTATGTGGATGACTTGATCATCACCCGGGCATCACCCGGGCACAAGAAGGGGACATCAATAGCTTCAAGCGCGAGATAGCAGCTCGTTTCCGCATGAGCGATCTCAGGCAGCTCTCCTACTACCTCGGCATCGAGGTGAAGCAGGGGAGAGACTCCATCACTCTCTACCAGCGTTCATATGCGGGGAAACTGTTGGAGCGGAGCGGCATGGCTGACTGCAAGTCATGCGCGACTCCAATGGAGGAGCGGCTGAAGCTGACGAAAGCCAGCACCGCGGAGAAGGTGGATGCACCACTCTACCGGAGTATCGTCGGAGGGCTGCGCTGCCTAGTCCACACGAGGCCAGATATCGCATTCGTCGTGGGCTATGTCAGCCGCTTTATGGAAGACCCCCGAGATGATCATTGGGCTGCAGTAAAACGGTTGTTGCGCTATGTCAAGGGGATGGTAGACCAGGGCATCATTTTCCCCAAGACCAGTGGCGAAAGTGGGCTGCGGCTCACGATTTTCAGAGATGCAGACATGGCAGGCGACATTGATGGGCAGAAGAGCACCTCCGGTGTGCTCGTATTCCTTGGATCGGCCCCAATCTCATGGCGGTCGCTGAAACAGAAGATCATGGCGTTGTCTACGTGCGAGGCGGGATACTGATGAAGATCGTGTGTTCCGCTCAACTCGTTTGCTTCGAAAGACACGTTGTCACGCCTCCTTCTTGGCGATAGGTGCGATTGACTTGGTTATTTAGCCCCGTCTCTCACGATTTTGAACTAGCTTGGGTCTCAGCCTCACTAACTCGGTTTGTATGATAAAACTCTCACGAATTCTAACACACGGTTTTGCTCTTACAAACGATTTTTTATTCATCCATCAACTTCTGAAAATATGAAGAGTACATGGTATTTAAAAGTGCTAGATAAATCTAAGTCTATTCTAACTAGAACTCCTAACTCATGCAAGAACATAAATCCTAAGGAAAGTAAATATCCTAACATCTTAAATTACTATACTAATAAAATCCTAATAATACTAGAACTCCTAATTACTTTGCTTGCACTCCAATCCTCTTGCTTGATGCTCAAGTCGGTTGCCCCCTCAAGGAACCCTAGCCGCCCGCCGCTATTCCTCGTCGCACAAGGTATCGCGCGCACGCGCCTCCTACGCGCCCCATGCGTTGCGCGCGCCTGTCGTTGTGCGCCAGCTCGCCTAGCCCTAATCCGCCAAGAAGTCTACTTGAGCGTGCCTCGGCTTTGCGCCTTTGCCTATTCCTACTAGGAATCCACTCTCGACCGCGTTTCCTATTTCTTTGAGGAATTCATCCGTCGGCAACCTTGCGTGCGCGTCACTGCACTCGGCTGCTATTCCTAGTCCTTCGAGGTCTAGTGCTCGCGTCTTGCCTATTCCTCTGAGGACTAGGCTTGCCGCCCTGGTCTTGCCTTGTGCCTCGGGCGTGTCGTCTAGCGCCCTGCGCTCGCCCAGCGTCCCGCGCACCGCGCTGATACGGAAGTGGTTATTAACCCCGGAGAGTCCGAGGATGAGACAATCGAGGACCTCGAGAGTTGGCTAGAACATGGGCCAGAAGAGCCGCAAATCGAAGAATATTGGCCTACT